TGAATATGGATGATGATTCAGTAGCAGGATGTAAGTAATTCACACCCTTTTGTTTTTTTCGTTTTTCGTTTATGACATTCATATTCTAGGCTCAGTATGGGTGTATTCAGTGTACGATGATGTACAATATAGCAGTTCTCGGGATACTAATTATTGCGATCAATTCACTTATATATTTTCGTTCGTATTCGTAACCCTGGGTTATGTGCTTCTGGCCTGTACACTCTGTTGTTTCTGTTGTTGTTGTTGCTGCATTTGCTGTCGCCCTAAAAAACAGCATTCCGGTTCCGGCCGTGTTGTATAAATATTGTTATGAAAGTTATGGTGTAAGTCTGTAATATATTCTTACCAATCATTGTAGCTGGAAATTCGTGTAGTAACCATCATTTCGCAGTAAAATAATTGTTATAGACTGTGAGATTTCTTCACAGGGTAATATGTCACTTCCGGTCAATGATATTTGGTAAAAATTCGTATTAATTTTACGGATGACAGTGTTTGATTTTACATTCGGCTTCAGAAATGCATAATCGAAAAAGTATTAACTTGTTTATCCGCTTCAGATGCTTCTGTATTTGGAAACTGGATTTGACCGTCAGTAACATCTGTTGATTGTTGATTGTATAGATTGATAAACAGATCAAGAATCAATTCTTCGAATAAGCTTGATTGAAAAGTTTTTTGTATAGCATATATATCCCGTATATCCTTTTATGAATTCATATCAATACTTCAAATGATTTTGTACTTTAATTAAAACATTTTATTTTGCATCCAGCTGTTGCGTGATTTAGATTTCCGTAAATTAGTTATACTTTATGGCAAACAGTTTTTTGCTTAGAAAACTGAATTGTACCATTCCAATAGCACTTAGTTGATCTGTTTGAGTATTATCTTTTTCAGTGAAAGGTGATATGAAGAAATTATGCTATATTCATTGAGTGGTTAAAATCTACGCTTCTAAATTTCTCGGTTATTTATTTTGGTGACGTAATTTCTTGGTTATTTATTTGGGTGACGTGTTTCTAAGATAAGCAAGTACGTTAGTTGAGGGTCACTTTATTGTATACATATTTTGTTAGTATATGCAACTTTGCTGGAAATGCAAGTAAAGCAGTGCATATATATATTACCGTTGATGCCTTCAAACAAGTGTCACAGTTTTTCTTTTGAACATTCTGATTAGACTGGTTAGTAGCGTGCTGCTTTCTGTTTAATTTTGTCATTAATATCAATTTAATTATATTGCTTTGAATATCTCTCGGATATTCCTGCAAGCTAGGAGAATCCGGTGAGGAGGAGGAAAGTGTACAATATTGTATTGTTAGTAATTTAGTTTATGAACATGATTTCGTGGTAGTAAATGAGGCTTCAATTGTCAGTAAATCGAGTCTGCTAATTTCCACCTTCAGCAGTTCATATTATTTTGGGTGCTATTTAATGGAGTGGTAAAATGTGTAGCAATCAAGTAGTGATTTGTTTGGATTAAATTCGAAAATGTGGAGAGATTATTGCGCTTTGTATCATTTGAATTTCTTCCTTTCGATTCCGATTATATGATAAAGGAAATGTCGGTGAATGTGTATTTGTACGGATGGACCGTGCTACGTTCGGCGAGGCATCATTTTTTTCCTTCAATTTTCGTGATTTGTTAGTTTCGATGATTTTTGTTCCATTGTTTAAAGTTTTTTTTTTCAGAGATCCACATTATCACTCTTAAAAAGCACGCGTTATCATCATTCGTTCTGCCCACTACCTTTCCATTGAGTTTGCCTAAAAGAATATGGTGTGCTAAATGATTTGAAAGATATTTTCCGTTTCTTCCATCATTCACTTCATTTGTTAATAATATTTTTTAGATGATATGCAAAAAATCAGAAACTTGTAACAGAATAAGATAACACAAAGCATCTCTTTGCTATCACCAGTATCATTATTCTTTCCTAATCTTTTGTGAATTGCATGTAAAAAACTATCGTTGACATATAATAGTTAATTAACTTCAGTCGTTTGGTAAACTTTCTAATGCATATATTTCAGATTGTTTAAAGAATTCGTCTTAGAAGGCATGTTTTCAACAACATGAACGTAATTTGGAATCGCACACTTAGTGGTGTCAATGGCTCTATTCTTGAAGTTGGTATCTTTAGATTGGGAATTTATGTTTGATGAATAATGACTATCTCATTCAGAGAAGATGCCCATCACATGATATTTTGATATAGTAATGATAAAAATAAAGGATTCTAATAAATGATTTGTAGATAACAGAAGCAAATTTTATTTAGATAACGTGTCCAGCACTTAATGATCCATTCTGTGATCAGTTCTCATCTTTAAGATCTCTGTCAAATATGTCATCGAGACTGTTCGTTTTGATATTGTTAAAAGAACTAATTTTTTCATGTGTTATATAAATAATTTCATTAAAAATATCAAGCGAAAATAAAGAAATATATGAGGGGAGGAATATTTCTTGAATCGAGAAAAGATAAAAATTAAGGATACGAGAAGCTATCGCATTTATCCCGACATTTAAACCAACTTCGTGGTTGTAATGCTAACTTTTCTGTTATTTAAATAAACTGATTATTATTCTGTGAATGGTCATATATTGTGCACAGTTTATGTCGAATGTTGTTATTTATTTAACAAAGAGTATTTTTTGATGTGAATACTAATGTAATTTAAGCTAAAGTTTGCGGCATTATTCTAATTGCTACATTCAACAAAATATCATGTTAAATCGTACGTTAAAAGTTCAGGCGTACGCAGTGTGAATCATTCTTTACTGCTACTAAACAGGCCATTAGAATAAAACTGGGAGCTACTGCTAATTTTTATAGATAATTTTGAAAAAAAAGGAATCAAATGTAAATTAAGCGGGTTTGGAATGAATTAGTTTTATTGACTATTACATTTTTCATCAGCTGACATTATTTTTCATCTTTTTTCTTTTTTTGGAGACATAAGTGATACGTATTGGATATGAAGAGCAGTGTATATGTATATATTTGGTGTTTTTCATTTCTCCTTTCTATTTGTTTATCTCATCTAATTCAAATAATTGCCTTTATGTGCAAAGTATAACATATAGAGGCATTATTTATATTCAATACTCTTCCAGATAACGTTATCAGTTGTTGGCGAATAATTTAGCTTATGTTATTTGCTCGATCGGTTGTTCTCTTAAGACCTTATTCTTGCAAAGTTTTTGCTTCATTATATCAATCGTCGAATGTCATCACATTTTTAACGCAGCAAAGATTTAATTGGCTGAGGTATACTTTTCACTCATACTCTTGAAATTGCTCTCGAATAGGAATAGATAATATTACGGAGTAAGCGTTTCCTTTGTTAAGATCAAGGTTAGGACCAAATAATTCTGTGCATTTCCATTCATTTGCTTAGCTTTTCGGATGGAAAGACTGAAACGGAAATTAGTAGAAGAGATATTGAAGTACTTGCCATTCCTTTATTTCCCACATTCATACTACATCATATGAGTGGATTTATTTTAACTTTATTGTTCATTATACGAACAACATTTCCTTCCTTTTTAATCATACTATTATTGCATCATTTATTTAATCGAATATCATTACCTTCTTTTTTTGACAATCGATCATTGCACGTATAGCAGTCGCAAGTGGATTTATAACGATTTAATTTGCATAGAGTTATGGTGTTGTCCTTGCCTAACTTATTCTCATATATTTTTTTTACCTTGTATGCAAAAGCTAAGGATATGCTTGGCATTGATATCTTGATCTTTAGTCATTATGTAAACGATTCGGAAAGACTGATATGTTATTATGATAAAAAACATCTTTTATTTTAAATCGAATATGACATATTTTAATTGAACAGTGAGGTTTTAACAGACGGTATGGTAATATAAAGAGTACGCAGGTTCTCATACCTGGGCTTATACTAACAATAAGTAGGGAAATATATTGAGCTCCTCAGGTTTGTAATATATATGTATAAAATGCCGGAGATAATGCTTCATTTTCTACTGTGGAACATCTCCATGCTTTTCCTGATATTTGCCTTTGGTGATAAATTGAAATGATAAGATAGTTAAAGTTATGCAGAAAAAATAAATTAATGGGGAGAGATTTGATTTTGAATATGTTGGATATTGAATAGATAATAGATGAGAAAAAGAAAGAAGCAATTCTGCTCGATTTTTGGATGATGTAAGTATATGAAGTAAGGTGAAGATGAAATGAGGTCGTTTATCGAATGAAGAATGGGTATAACTGCTCATTATTTTTTAAAGATGAAGAATCACTTCTATATGAGGAATGATTAAAATTTTATAGATATTTCAGAAATTTTACGAAATTTTCTCTTCGTATGGTTTATTGAATATAATAGGTCGTTTTTTCATTCGATCATTGTTTTCTATACTTTCTCTTTTAACATGGATAAGTTAAGTTGATATTATCTTTTTCTTTTCCGTTTCAGGTTTGTATCATTTGCCCTTTCTGGTTCGGAATAATTCCCCTAATAATGCTGGTAATTATATATTGCGATGTTTGATAAGACGAAACTATTTGCGTTCAGTACTGCAGATTAAATTTATGAGGAAGTGAAATACTATTATAGATTATTAAAGAAGGGAAGGAAATGTTATTAATTTTGCTCTGTATTTCTTCAAATTAATTCAATAGGTCAAGGTCTTTATCGCTAATACATCATAGATGTAAATCATTCGAAGATTTAAGTCATCATGTGCCAAGTCTCATCTATATTAAATAAGTGACGAAGAATCTTTTTTCACTTGTAGAAGTGAATCATATTCGTTGAATCTTCCTGAATAATTTGATCGAGTAGTGAAATGATTCGAGATTAACATAATATGACTTTTAAATAATCGTTTTCTTCAAGAATGGATAGATGATTCATCTATAAGACAATTCCCAGCTTATTCAGGATTGGTTGCTCATTTTTTTGTGGCAATAATGTGCACGATAATGCATTATTTGATAGTAATGATCGCTGTAGTGTTGTATCCAATATCTACAGAAGAGTGAGTTTTCATGTATCCTATTGGTCACATAACTCTTCTATCTATTAAATTCATTTTATTAAGCATAAAAATGTGCCAAATTGCGGTCGTTTATAAATGCTTTGCTTTCTCATTTAATTATTATTTTAATAATATTTCTCATTGCTTTCTTCATTTGGTTTAAAAAATTTCTATTTCACGTTAATTTGGTGATTTAATAACTGAGGCTGATGAAGGATAAGTCTATTCAGCAGATGATTATTACATAATGCTGATATTATATTATATAAGTTGTTTTGACGCCTGAAATATATAGCGGAGATTGACACAGTAGTCCGGCTTTTGCTCATTGCATTTTACTAAATTAGTTTTTTTTTTTAAATTACAAAAAACGAACTGGAGCTAATGAAAGAAGGATTTGCGCTGTTAAATTGGATTTATAACTTATGGTTCTGAATTGAATATTTTAAGAACAGAGATGAAGTCCACAAATTATAAATATGCTATGATGCTAATTGCAGAGGAAGTGATACCACGATGTCAGTAGAGGAAGCATTCAAAAAGCATCAAGTCGTTCCGGATGTTGTATCAACGGCTCCCACCAAACTAATCACTATCGATTACAGTAGTGGTGTTAAGGTAAGTACTTGAAGAATATACGGAAAGTATGTGAATGCATTTTGGTTAAATATATTTTAAGACCAGCAAATCACACTGCAGTAATTAATGAGCTGTCAGTATTTTTTAGATTTCTAGCAATAAGAAGACAAGTGAGATTGAAAAAAGACATAGTAAGCACTATAGTAACTCATACCAAAGCCAATTTCCACATTTGCCATGAAATATTTCTCGTTTTATGTTACCTAATCGTTGCGTGAGAATTAAGAATTCTTTAGGCGAATTTGGGCAATGAACTTACGCCGACGCAGGTGAAGGATGAACCGAAGGTATCATGGGAGGCGGATGCTGAAAGCTTGTATACACTTGTTTTGACTGGTATCCAGCCATTTAAATTATTGTTATTGATTTTAACCACAGCTCTTACAAATTAAGCTAGTAATATTATCAAAAATTTCAGACCCAGATGCGCCATCTCGAGAAAGACCTACGCACAGAGAGTGGCATCACTGGTAAGTATCATCTACTGTGTGGCTTGTTTGCTAGGATTTAACTGTTCTGGATTTTCAATGAAGAGTTTATGGTACCAGGAAAGATGTTTCAGACATAAATCTATTTTCACAGGTTGGTATCTAATATTCCTGGACAAGATGTCAGAAAGGGTGATGTGCTTTCAGAGTATGTTGGATCGGGTCCGCCAAAAGGCACAGGTAAATAGTGACATCTTGTTATATTTTATTCCTATAAAAAATTAATTCTAGGAATTGGATGTCTTTTTCAAATCAACAGTAACAGATACATATCCAAGTAACTGATTTTTCGAAACGCTGTACTAATGCCGATTTGATTTATAGGACTTCACCGTTATGTATTCTTGGTTTACAAACAGCCTAAAAAAATCGTAGATACCGATCATGGGCATCTCACTAATAGATCAGGTGCAAATCGCGGAGATTTCAAAATCAGCAAATTTGCAATGAAACATAAGTTGGGAAATCCAGTTGCTGGAAACTTCTATCAGGTTATTTTGAAATCTCGTGAAATTTGATTCAATTTTTGAGAATGCATGTACGCTGTGAAATTTTGGGATACTTCAAGAGCAAGGAAATAAAATTGAAAATAGGAAGGTGTACTTTATCTGAATTTCAGGCTCAATACGACGACTATGTTCCTAAATTATACGAGCAACTGAGCGGTTGATGGTTGCAATTTGTTTTTGCAACGTTTGAATCTTCGTTTAACTTTTGTTCTTTTCTTTTATTCTGATGATTTGGGGCATTATGTATTTCATTATTATTTAAAAGTGAGTAAAATTAATCTGAGCTACTGAATGAAAATATTTTTTTATGAAAATAAATATTTTTTGCCATGTTTGTTACGGACCAAACTAAGTTTAGTTATTCGGTCGTATTTTGCACTTACACGTGTATTATATATTTCATTATTTTGAAATGCATTAGTTCCCGTATTGCACGATCTCCTTTCCTCTCAGCCGCTCTCGACTGATAGAGATTATCCATTTTCTAGGATAGGATTTAAAACCTCGCCACTATTGATTTGTAGTAAATATTGATCACAATCAATCAAAAAATCCATTAGAATTTCTAACTTTAGTTTGTGACGTCTCATTAAACCGTAGTAGCCAGAAAAAGCATTCGATATATGGGAAGAAATGTGGAAGTGACACTTTTAATTTATTTCAAATAATGGAAAGATTTGTAAAGAAATATGTGTGCTGGAATTTGTTGGATTTTTTGGTTTGTCCACTGATTATAGTTAGGACCATTTAGACCCACGGCTACTAGGCGCATCTAACCTCTTCCATTCCTGTTGTCCATTAATTAAAGATACTCAAATGATGCAAGATTAAAAGGAATATTTCACTCCATTCATACTATAATGTCACCGTAAAATAAAAGATAGCGGACAATAATGCGAGTTGTAAGATATTCGTATTGTCATACGTTCAAGCGCAGCATACGTACGTTCTACTCGCGTGCATAACTTTATATATGGTTCATGCATATAAGGCGTGTAAATTTCCTCATATAGAATCACTTAACGAATGGCAAGGGATAAATTGTGGCCTGCTTTGTGAAATTTTGTTTACATCCTAAATTGACTCCACCACATGTGCAAGTTGAACGAAAAACACTGCTCCCGGCCGTCTCACTCCTCGAATTCACTTTTATTACGTTTTAAATTGCATGGGTTTCCTCCCGAAATTTTAAGCTGCAGCTTAGGTTTCATCTCATGCATGGAATATTACACAAATCACGCTTTGTTTGGCGTGAGATACTTGATATTGAAGATATGTGTATGTACAGAGAGCACATGCGTGTGATTATATTTAAAGTTCACGTAAGCGTAGTATGTGCGAGGCTAAAGAGCATATATATACATGAGGAAAAGAAATGATTGTGTCATGATTTTCATATCTTTCATGCTAAATCTACATGACATATGTTGCAGGATTTTGTTTAAGCATTCAGTGAGTGATGACGTTGGGACGAATTTGTATGACTGAATCACGATTGTATCGCCTCAGACTTGCTTACAAGCTCAATCCTGTAACTACTGCAATATTAAGATGTAGCAGTAGTAGCAAGAGTACGATACCAGATGATAAGCTAAGGACGCTACCCCAGGGATTGCAAAAATTGGTTCGTCGATGTTTATGATGTATTTTATCATTTTTCAGTACACTTCCGAATGATTTTCATTGTGCAATAATTGTGAACGAGAATATTACACTTACATATGACTTGATATATTAGCTATAATTGCAATTTGCATGATTATTTGTTTTATGTGTTCGTGTGATTCGATATTTGACTATTCTAGAATTTGACACATTTATTTCATTTTCACTTTTCCCATGGTAGAATATGTTGCTTAAACTGATGCTTGGAAAATTTAATAGTTTTATTCCTTAAATGTAATGACTCTATAAAGGTGGTCTGCGTTTTCATGTCTGGCTCTTAACCTATTATCTCTCCTAGGTTAGGCGTGTTTTTAAAAGCTTTTTCTATATATATATATATATCTAATCATGCTTTTACTCTTTGATTTGTCCTCATCCGTATTTAATAATTGCAGGCTAAAATAAAGGTCGAAGACTGGCCTCACATTAATCCTGGTCCTCCTACTACTCACGATGATGTACCAATTCCTTTCAAAAAATTTGAAGAAGCAAAGAAAGACTTTATGCCTACCTTCAATTTGTATTTCTATAGTTCCATAATACTTTTTGCTGCAACCTTTTATTGGGTTAGTTTACCCTTGAACTTGTTTCTTTTCTTTTAATATTCTATATCTGGAAATATAAATATAAAATTTCTACGAAATCTTCACTGGTTGAAAATTCGAGACCAAATAGATAATCAGCTCTTGGCAAGATCATTGAGACTACCAGTAAGTGGTGGGTATCCATGAATTCCTGTATCATAGATCTCAGCAATAATGATTTTAGGCATTTTTCATCGAAGATATTTGGCCATACAATGCACGAGCACCAGTAAAATCATATCGAGAACGACATAAGGCCAAAAAATCCGAATCATCAAGTGATGATAGTTCAGGTGGAGACAAAGCACTAGCAGGTGCTGCTGCGTCTGGGACAGCATTGGCTACTGAAAAGGTCAAAAATTAGTCTGCTTTGCATTTTTTGATCGCTTTTATTAAAATTAATTTTCAAAATGTCTAATACCTTTAGTAACTGCTCATTTCTTTCAATCTAGCATTCTTGTCTCATTTTTAATCTTCTGTTATATCTTTTGCTCTCTATATCCATAGCTGAACAGTGGGAGATACCAAAAAGCTGCATTTCATCGAATGCTTAAATCAGATGTCTTTTTTAAAATTGATTAGAACAATGCCGACTTTTTCGTGGCCTGAAGTTGGCTTGTAAGGGCATCTGTCTTTTATCAGTTTTGTAGTTAAATAAATGTTTATTACGGTATTCATTTGCTTCGATATGCCGTTTACAATTTCGTTATATTCAATCTATTTACGGAATGAAATTCAGTTAATTTTCCTCTATGGCTTTAACCGTATATTTTCTGTAATTCTCTCAAATTTGCTTTTTTTTTAAAACGAATTCTGCTGTTTTCGTTAACTTTAGGTAGCTAAAAATTGTTTATAATTATCGATAAAGATTTGAATGTGTCTTACTGTGGTTGCATTAGTATTTTCTACAATGGGCATGACATGATTTTGATTGGAGTCAAATAACGAAATTCAAAGTATATTTTGATTTTAATGATAAAATTGAAAAATCTGAATTTTTGTTTGCGACGATAACAGAACAACATTTGACAATAATGCAAATTTTAACTTACTCGTGTTATCGATACATTTTACTATCCATTGAACACATTTTCTGGATTAATTCATAAACGAGACTGGCCTGCTCTGTTGATATAATATTGAAAATATAAAGTAATTAGGGTTCTTTTAGGAGGCAGAGGCAAGCGATGATATTGAGAAAGGTGTGAAGACTGACACTTCTGCTGCTTCCCTAGCTTCAGTTAAGGAGAAAAAGACAATAGTCAGTGAGGAATCTGTAATGCCGGAGAAGAGAAGTGCAGAGGGATCAGAAAAAATTATAGTGGACCCGAAAATCTTACCCGAAGAAATACCTTATCTGCTGATAGGTTCCGGTACAGCGTCATATTACGCTGCTTTGGCAATCAGGGCTCGGGATGCAGATGCTAAAGTGTTGATAATAGGTGATGAGAAGCACCTGCCATATAATCGACCTCCACTATCAAAGGAACTGTGGTGGTATGGAGAAGACCAGGTTAGTTTATTCGTAATTACTTCATCTGAAAATTTGATCAGCTATAGGCCTTAACCATGATTGCAATTGAAATACGTTAAGATGATAATGTTGAAATAGTGGAGAGGAATCGACATTCATTTAGGTAGCGGAAACTCTGGAATATAGAGGTTATAGTGGGAAGAAACGGGATGTATATTTTGAAGCACCAGGATTCTTCGTACCACCAGATGAGATTGAGTCAGCTGAACATGGTGGTGTATCCTTAATTAGTGGACATCGAGTTGTCAAACTTGATTTGGCGACACAAACAGCTTATCTTGATGATGGACGTTCACTGAAGTATCAGAAATGTCTCATAGCTACAGGTGGATATTTATATCTACTTATCATTAATCTCTTTCTACTGTTAATTTGTTTCTTTTTTATCTTATTTCAAGGTAACTCTTTATATGAGTTGCTTGTTGATGACTACTTGCAAAAGAAATCGCACACCAAAGCAGACTTATGAGAATTAAACCGATTTGTTCGTTGTAAAGACTTCTATCTCATTATAATAGTTAACATTTCAGGAGGTTATCCAAAGTCATTACCAGTGATCGAAAATGCTGATGAGGAAGTGAAACGGAGAGTGACATTTTTCCGAACGGTTTGTTTCACTTTGACATGTATTTTTCTTATCCCAATCTAGGATGGTTTAAATTTGCTGGTTATAGATTGATGATTTCCGGAAATTGGATGAAATAGTGCGAAAAAGTAAGTCTATAACGATTATTGGCGGTAGTTTCTTGGGTTCGGAGTTAGCGAACTCATTGAATCGACGCTTTGGAGAGCAAGGATTGCAAATTTGTCAGGCAAGTTTTCATATTAAATAATAATATACTGAAGTTACAAAACTATCGTATAAGGAAAAATGCTGTTTCTGAAGTATTCCGCTTCTTTTTGCGTTCCATATTCGCTTTGTTGCAAAATAAAATTCGAAATAAAATCAATTACGTGCCAAAATACTTTTGATTACTGAAGATGGAGTCTAATCATGTGAGGAATGTAATTATAACTTTCAAGGAATATAATTATGCAATTCACAGGAAGCATATAATAGGATGTAAGTTCTAGTTATTAGTCTGCTACCTGGTTATTTTATATTTATTTTATATATTTACTTAAGTTCTTCATGATTCTTCTATCATTTAGATATTTCGAGAAAAAGGTAATGTTGCTGAGATTCTACCGCAGTTTTTGAGCAAGTATACAACCAGCGAATTACGTAAAAGTGGTGTTAACGTTATGCCTGAGAAGGAACTTAAACGTGTAACAGTGGATAAAAGTGGTAAACTTCGTTTGCAGTTAGCAACAGGAGGTACTATATTCTTGATTTTTTGAAATATGTCAAGTAACAAATGTTTGAAGCGTTTTAAGATACGTTTCTATAAAGTCAAGCAAAACATGAAGGCGGTGTTGTGTTCACGTTCACTTTGTCACTAAGTCTGATAGTGTGAATTGCTGATAATCTATGAGTAAATGAAAGGAAAGGGCTTAACGATCAACAGTTGCAGTGGATTTGCATTTATATCCAGGTTTTACCACATACTGCAGTAAATTACAATCCTGGTGATTATTATCAATGAGGAATTGATTTTGCATTACAGAAATTATAAACACTGATCACATCATTGTGGCAATAGGTATATGTGCAAATACCGATTTGGCAAAATCATGCGGCTTAGAAATTGACCCTGTATGTTCTTGTCAATATTTTTATTTTTGAATTTTTAGATGTTTTTATTTTTCATTCTGTTTCTAAATGACTTAATAGCTGTTGAGTTGTAACTTTTCAATTCCATAATAGGTGAATGGTGGTTATGTAGTTGATGCCGAACTGCGTGCTCGGTCAAATGTTTGGGTTGCTGGTGATGCGAGTAGCTTTTACGATGTTAAACTTGGTCGAAGAAGGATGGAACATTGGGAACATGCGCAGATAACCGGACGTCTCGCTGGTGAAAATATGACTGGAGGTATTGTTTTGTCCTTTGCAATCTTCCATAGTTTCGCTTCTGAATTGAATTTGAAAATAAAAATTCTGCAAAGTCTTTTGTTAAACAACATTTCTGGTTTATGCTATTAACTGATAGCTCCATAATTGCTAGATTTTTTTTTCAGCGAACAGACCATACTGGCATCAATCTTCTTATTATTCTATCTTAGCACCAAGTGTTCACTTGGAAGCAGTTGGTAGGATTGATTCGGGATTGAGAACAGTGTCGATTTTGGCAGATACTAAAGATAATGTGAGACAACTACTGCTATTTTTATTGTGACTTCACAGTTTGTTTATATCTCTATCTAATTACTTTCTCATATTAGAAAATATCTATGAAAGAAATGCTTTTCAACTTCATTATTTTTTTCTTTGTTCTAATAATGTCAAATTTATAGACTAATGAGATCAAAAAAGGAGTTGTGTTCTACCTTGATGGCAAAATTATCGTGGGTGTATTGCTGTTAAATGTTTCTGGTCTAGGTATTGAAATTGCACGGCGGCTGATTGCAGACGGACGTGAGCACGATAATTTCAAAGAAGTAAGTTATTTACTATGAATTTTGTGCAAATTTGCAAATCCACTTAAACATGTAACTAGTTTATTTTTCAAAACACTTAAAGCCCACTTTCCTTCAATGGTTTTTATTTTTTAAAGTCCAAGTATTTTTGATTTTCTCACATGTCAGTTTCAGTATTCTAATACTAGTTTAGGTTTCAGTTGTATACTAACTCCAGTTTTTAAATTTCACACTTAAACTTTAGTCATGGATCAACTTTATGTAATAACCGCAAAAACAGAAATGAAACATTTACAGTAATTGTTCTTATATATAAGAATTTTTACATTTAGCTTGCAAAGCTATTCGAGCTACATAAAAGAAGAGCAGACGATGAAAAAGAGGAATAATCCTGCTATTGGAACCTATTTGCCATGGACTCAATCTCACATTTTTATTTCAAATGTTTCGTGCTATTATTCTGATGATGCACCTCTAGTTGTTCATAGCTTTCATTTATGGTAGATTAGTTGTGCATAGCTTCCACTTATGATAGATCTAAATTACATGTTTTATTGGGAATTGTATACATAGAATTTTTATCTTTTTCATTTCATATAATTTATTTCGTTTCATGATGATCATGTGTTCATATTCCCATTACAGTGCTAGGCATTGAAGAAGCCTTCATTATAAATTTACTTTAAGAATTTTAAAAGTTGCTATGCTTACAAATAACAAGCTTTATTTTTGCATGCTGTTTTTAAAATAACAAATTAACATTGTGAATGAAATGTCCAAGTCATCTGTCCTATTGCGGGTCATTCCTTGTTAATAAAGTGTTTTGCAAAGATTGCTGCCATTGATTTCAATTTTTACATTGTATTATTTTTTTTTTATTTGATTATACGTTGTTTTGTTCTATTTCTTTCACAGTAATATGTTATGTTGTTGTATTTTTATTTAATATAGCACATGTTATAGCACATTTTACACATTTTACATCAAGCATATTTAATTCGCAAATATTAAGGTAACTTAAATGTTATCCCATTAGAGATTATAGCATAAAGCAAAAACATCATCGCCATCATTTAGCCTCTTAAAATTATCTTTCTTTTCTTCTTATAGGATCTCCTAGAAATCTTGCTGTTATCTTCCGCAATCTTTTTTCGCACATCACAACGAATGCCATACATTATTACATTGTTTCATCATGCTTTGAACACAATGCTTTTATAATCACAAAATGTGATCATTATGAAACACTCATCTAAACAAGGATTAACATATCAGAATCATTTTATCATATATTCCATATTACAACAAAATTAAACAAAATAGGCATATCGAAGTTATAATTTGCATAAATTGAAGCTATACGATGACCGATCGACGATGACTTTTTCTAATCGTAATCTTTATGAAAGCATATCATATAGAATTTATCCGTTCATTTTTATTTTTTGTCTCTCGAATATATATTTCAAGTAACATATTCTTCATATATTTTCTTCACTGACTATAAAACTACTGATAATGATAAATTAGCAAATGAATTCCAACAATTTTTACTAATGAAGAAGTGAGAATTGCATGTATAAGGAGAAAGAGAGAGGGAGAGAGAGGTCTGAGAATTTATTCAGATAAGTGAAGAAAATAATAAAATGATGAGAGTGGAATTGTTGTGATATCTTCGTTATGTTGAGGAGAAATGGGGAGAGGAGTGAAACAAAAATGCGAGAAAGCAGTCATTTTGACGGCAATTCGTGGTATAATGTCAACTAGTAATGATGATGATGATGATAACAATGATGATAGTGATGATAGTGATAATGGCGGTATTGGTTGCAAATGATAATTGTGCGATTTGATTTGGTAAATTGGTGTAATTTTTTGTGACAGTTAACATTTCTCCTATCCTAATTGTGTACCATACCATAGTGCGCTGCTGCATTTTTTAGTTGTGTTCCAATACGTCTGCAAAAATTTCTGACACACTATCATTGTTGGGTGACATAACGGCGCATCCATACATTAATTTAATTTAATATCTAAAACTGAACAATTATCATTTCATCCTTTTCCTTCCTTCTATTTTATTTTAACCCTTTTGTAATTTTGAACTGTTAATCTGTTCATTATTGTTATCTTAACAAACAGTACAGTTCTTTTTTTATTTCCCTCAATTACATCAAATCAACTGATTGATCATTCAATTTTTTTTTATTAATCCAAAAATTAGACAACCTATCGTTTGACTTTTTTCCTTTTTCTTCTTCTTTTTCTTGATATTTGTCTGCTATTTTTCTATCCTTTTTGTTCTTTTTTTGGGTATTATTTCAAAAAATAAAATAAAATAAAATGAAACTCATTCATTCACATTCCATTCTTTCTTTTTTCATAGCTTTTGAATCATTTTAAGATTATTTGCCATGTAAATGTTTGAGATATAAAAAGAAAAGCTATTAAGAAAGAGTGTAAATGATTAAAAAAAAATATCATCTCAAAGATGGACTAATTGTTAGCCTTAGTCAAGAGAAGATTTTACATGAAAAAACGATTTTATAGTTAAAAATTAAAATAATTAATTTTATAATTAAAAGTTAAATTTACAAAAAAATTTCATTCAATATCAAACTTTTAAACGGATCGAATTGGCATGAAAAAAGCGATAAAAGTTAAAAGAAATGTTACATGAAAATGGAGAATTAATCCCTTCTTATTCTCTTGATACCTTACATCTATAATAACTCAATTACTTAATAAATTAATAAAATGCCTTCTCCAATAGCATCGTTGATCACCACTATATATATACGGTAATGAAATGTGAAGTGAATTTTCTGCCAATTAGCTAATTTAAATTTGGAATGATTTCTAACTGGTAAGGATGGAAAGGAGTAATGATGAATGATCAAGCGCCATCACCACTGCTGTATGTGTTCTGTCAGCTGCATCCGATCCTGTCCCTCTCCATATGCTTCTTCCGCTTTCGTTCGGTGCACTCTCCGCTTGCTCCATTTGGGAACGTTCTATCGAAAAACTAAAATGGAAAAGGAGAGGCAGAAAAAAGAACAGATGAAAAGAGAGCCGTTTCATATTTTTCCTACTGCTACACTGCTACCGCTAATGCTACCTCAGTACGTGTCTATGTGTGTATGTGTGTGTGTGTGTGTATGTGTGTATGTGT